GTCACGATGAATGGTCTTTTTAATATGTTGTTGAATTCAGTTTGCTACTATTTTGTTGAAGATTTTTGTATCCATATTTATCAGATATTTTGGCCTATAGTTTCTATTTTGGATGTGTCTTTGTCTGGTTTTAGTATTAGGTAATACTGGCCTTGTAGAATTAGTTTGGCAGTATTCCCTCCTCTTCAAATTTTTTGGAATACTTTGAGTAGGATTGGTATTAGTTTTTCTTAAGTTTTTGGTAGAATTCAGCAGTGAAGCCATCAGGTTCCATGCTTTTCTTTACTGGGAGACTTTTTATTACATATTTAATCTCATTGCTTGTTATTGGTCTATTCAGGTTTTGGATTTCTTCGTGATCCAATCTTGCTAGGTTTTACATGTCTAGGAATTTGTCCTTCTCCTCTAAGTTTTCCAATTTATTGGCACATAGTTGCTCATAGTAGCCAGTAGTGATCCTTTGAATTTCTAAGGTATCAGTTGTAATGTCTCCTTTTCTATCTCTGATTTTATTTATTTGTCTCTTTTCCCTTTTTTTTCTTAATCTGACTAAAGGTTTGTCAATTTTGTTTATCATCTCAATAAACCATTTTTTTGTTTCATTGATCTTTTATATTTTGTTTTGTTCATTTCAAATTTATTTCTGCTCTGATCTTTATTATTTCTTTTGTTTTTGTTTGTTTGTTTGCAGCCTTGACTTCCCAGGGTCAAGTCATCCTTACATCTCTCAGCCTTCCTAGTAGCTGGGACTACAGGCACCACCACACCTAGCTAATTTTTGTATTTTTTGTAGAGATGGGGTTTTGCCATGTTGCCCAGACTGGTCTTGAGCTCCTTGGCTCAAGTGATCTGCCCACCTCACTCTCTCAAAGTGTTGGGATTACAGGTGTGAGCCATGACACCTGGCTGTTTCTTTTCTTTTACTAACTTTGGGTTTGGTTTGCTCTTTTTCGGGTTTTCTAAGATGAATCATTATGTTATTTATTTGAGGTTTTTCTTCTTTTTTGATGTAGGCATTTATAGCTATAAATTTTCCTCTTAATAATGGTTTTGCTGTATCCCATAGGTTTTGGTATGTTATATTTCTATTATCATTTGTTTTAAGAAATTTTTCAATTTCCTTCTTAATTTCTTCATTGACCCACTGGTCATTCAGGGCATATTGTTTAATTTCCATTCGTTTGTGTAGTTTTCAAAATTCTTTTTGTAGCCCCATCTACTTGAGGGGGTTAGAGGCAAGAGGATCGTTAGAGCCCAGGAGGTCAAGGCTGCAGTGAGCTGAGATCATACCACTGTACTCTAGCCGGGGTGACAAAGTGAGACCTGGTCTCTCTCTAAAAACAACAACAACAA